GTCAATTATGTCTCTATCAACAGCCCATGGGGCACCAGTTTCCTCATACCCTTTGTATATATATCAGAATATCTCATCTTTACCAGCTTTATAGATGGCAAATCATCTCTCATTCTGCTTTTCATATATTTAATCGTGAGTGGCACCAACCCTCCTTTCGTATTTTCTTGGCCCTTTGTGTTTTCTCTGTGAACTTCTTTGTAGATTTATTCTCAATACAGGCAAGCTTATCAGTGTTATGGCTTTATTTTAGCCCACCTACCAGTATGTGACACATGGGGTGAAGGCCACTGTGAAGTTAGTGCTTCCTGAATTACAGAAACCAAAAGTGCCCTTCCATAGACTCCCATGTAGTCAGATATCCTGGGGGCCTCCATACCCAGGGCTGGCCCTGTTGAGAGTAGAGGGGCTCACGTATTTGTAGGGTGACTGTGCATTTTTCCAATGCAGATATAATTTTTGCTTCTCTATTTGCCTTGATTAGACATTGTATAATCCATCAGCTTTTTTTATGTGTGTGGTACTGGGTGTCAAATCCACAGATACTCTGCTGCTGAACTATATTGCTAGCCCCATTTATTTATTTATTTATTTATTTATTTATTTATTTATTTATTTATTTATTTATTTATTTTGAGACAGAGTCTTGTTAAGCTGACCTGGTGGTACTTGAATTTGTAATCTACTGCCTCGGCCTCCCAGAGTGCTGGGATTGTAGGTGTGTGCCACTGCACTCAGCTCGGCCAATTGTTATTTTTAATTGGCATTCCATGGCCTTTGTTCCATTTAAGTCCCATCAGCCCCAGATAAAGAGGTGTACACCTCTTACCAGTCTATGAATACTGGTTATTTTTTTCACTAGCCCAAGTCCCTGGTAAAATCCCTAATAACTTTCCTTTGTAGGAGGATCTTGGGAGAACTTGGAACCAGGAGCCCAAGAACTGGGAACAGGAATTTCCTCCTTGATGGCACCAGACCTGGACCAATTTTGCCCCAACCCTCTGTGTTAACTGAGTCCCTTTTGGAGGGACCAGAGCCACAGGTGATGAGAGGTAGGAGAGGATCCCAGGGCTCCTACCCCACAACTTCACTACGAGGTACCACAAAATCCTGACCAAGCCTGCCTTTCAAACCAGACTTTATTAGCAAGTAACCAAATGCCATTTTACTACCTGTGGCCATAAGCACAGTGCTTCCCCAGAAGCAGATGTGGTGAGGGGCCGGGAATTTAGCTCAGTGGTTCTGCTGCCTTCCTCACAAGCACAAGATCCCAAGTTTGATCCCCAGTAACCCCCCCGCCAAAAAGAAGAAGAAAACAGAAGCAGCTGTGATGATAACAAAGATACTGATGTGGCATACCTAATGTATTTGACACCTAGAATGGAGTGTTTTTAACATCCCTCCTCTGTGCCACAAAACTATTTTTAGTATTACCACAAATGAACAAGCAGTAATATGCCTTATTTTCCTGATTCATTACCTAACCAATTAGAAAAAGGAGAAATTTACATTGTAAAGATGTTCCAATATATGATTAGTTAGCCAAAAAGAACATAACACCAGTTCTGTGATATTCCTGCTGAAAATGCACGATCAGGATTTATTAAGGAGGAATCATCAGACATAGTAAATGAAGAGCCATTCTACAAAATACCAGGCCTTGAAAAATATCAAGGTCCTAAAAACTGAAGAGACTGGGAAATGTCTCACATGGAGAAGGACCAAGTAAACAGGACAGCTAGAGGAAATTTGTGATTCAGAACTGGATCCATTTTCTCTTTTTTCTTTTTTTTTTTTTTTCAGCTTTAATTGAGTTTATTGGCACATTTTAGGGATACAGTACATTTACATTCATTGTTGGGATCTTGTACCTTTACATGACAACTCTTGGTTCTCATTTTTTCCCCTTGTCCCTGCCCTCCCTTCACCCCCTCCTCTCCTCCTCATCTACAACCACTTTATTTCCATCTTTTCATTTTCGCACATTTTTTTCTTTTCCCCTTTTCCCCTTCCGCTACCCGTCCCATCTTCCCTACACCTTTAGCTCCTTTCTTTCCATTTCTCAATGTCAGTAATCTTATTAGGATCTTCTGTATTATTGCAGATTATTCACACCAGAGAAACTATTCGGTATTTACACGTGTGCCTTATTTATTTCACTTAGGAGTATATCTTCAATATGTATCCATTTTCCTATGAATGAATCTATTTTCTCATTCTTTATGTCTGAGTAATATTCCATTTTATAGAAAATCCACATCTTCTTTATCCAGTTTCCAACTGATGGGCAAATAGGCTGTTTCTGGATCCATTTTCTAGAAAGGACATTACTGGAACAATCGAACCTTGAACAAATCTGAGCATGGGATGGCACTGTTGTATCAACATTTACTTCTTCCCTTTGATAACTGTCTTGTGATTAGTAGGAGAAATGTTTGTATTTGTAGAGAATATATACTATGGAATTTGAGGTTGATGGAATGTAAGGTCAGCATCTTACTATTTTATAATAATATTTTTGGACTGTACTTCCAGATTTTATATGTATTTATAATTTGATTTTTATGTATTTATTTCTGTAGTGTTGGTGATCAATCCTAGGCCCTCATGCTTGCCAGGCAAGTGCTGTACCCATGAACTTCACTCCAAGCCCTGAAGTTTTTATTTCAGCACAAAGATTTTTTAATTAATTTTATTGGTACATTACATAGAGTATTTTATATTATTATTTTGCACAACATAATGACATTCTTCATTGTAGATTTGTTCCTTTACATAATATATCTTGATTCTTATTTTCCCCATTCCCCTGCCCTCTCTTCAACCCCTCTACACCTCCCTATTTACAGACTTTGTTTCCATTTTTTAATCTTCTCATATTAATTCCAGTTCCTTCTTTCCTTTCCCCTGCCCTTCGCACTTCCCATTTCCCTTTGCCCCTTTTCTTTCTATTTCACATTACCTATTCTATATTTTGATCCTTATTTATGCTTTTAAGTTTCTCACACTAAACTTTTCGGTATTTACACATGTGTGTCCTATTCACTTAAGAGTATCACCTCAATGTGTATCCATTTAGCTATTAATGCCTCTAGTTCATCATTCTTTATGGCTGAGTAGTATTTCATTTTATTTAAACACACACACACATTTTCTTTATCCATTCTCCAGCTGATGGGCAATTGGGCTGTTTCCATGTTTTAGCACAGTTTTACAAACTGTTCCACTGTGAATATGGGTGCACATATATCACTGTGGTATGTTTCTTTTAATTCTTTTGGGAAGATACCCAGCAGGGGAATCACTGGGTCAAATGGGACCTGTAGTCCTAGTTCTTTAAGGTGTCTCCATATTGATTTCCACAGTGGTTGCACCAGTCTGCACTCCCACCAACAGTAAAGCAGGATTTCCTTTTCCCCATAGCCCCACCAGCATTTGTTATTGGTTGATTTCTTGACAGCAGCCATTTTTTCTGGAGTGAGGTGAAGTCTCAGCATTGTTTTCATTTCCATCTCTCCATAACCAGTGATGTTGACTATTTTTTCATATGTTTATTTGCTATTTCTACTTCACAAAGATGATTTTTTTTAAAACTCCACAGTAATTGTAATTATTGTTGGGAGTGTAAAGCAACAAAACCTTTTTTGAAGAGGAGTATCTTTTCACAGTATTATTTGTAATTTTTGGCAATAGGTAGTGATAAATTGGTGTGGGTTTTGCTTTTAAATTCTTCATAGACAGGGCACCTCCTTACTACCCACATGTGAAGTAGACATGAGTGGTAGGAACCCCCAGCCCTCAGCAGACCCTGGTTACAGTGGCAGATCAGGATCCCTGATTAAGGTTGGAACTCAAGACACTGGGCATACTGAAGCCCTGGGCTAAGAAGGCCTTTGAGAACAGCATTGGGCTGATGGGCCAGAGAGCTTCTTATATACCATTCACACAAATGTAACATGCTAGCACAAAATCTGGCCAATCCACCTACATTTCACCATGGGGGAATTTTCTTGTACTATCTCTCCTGCTAACGAAGCTCTTTCAGAGCAGAATGTGACAAAGAAGTCCTTGCCTTAGCTGCTTCTACAGGGTGGGTACTTCCAATTAGGCTATCCAATGACCTGGGATGTACTTTCCTAATGACAGCCATCACCCCCAAGTGTAACCCCCCAAGTTAACCAGCACATATATGTGCTTGCTTTATGTTAAAGTAAATTACAATATCTCCCTAGGTTTTATTATAGAACAGAAAGCATGGGCACTCGGTCTTTGTGAAGTCAAAATGCTGTGTAACTGTACCCTTCTCTAGTGTTTTCCCCCTTCAGTGAAGCAGGGTTGAGCACAGGAAGAGATCTTTAGGGTGAGGATGCTCCACTCGAGCTCTTAGTGTGGAGTGAGTTGGGGGACAAATAGAGCGGGCCTGTAGGAGAAGCTGAGCACGGAAGCGGACGTGGCTGCTGTCTTTGTCTTGTCTCCTGGCTGTATGCACACTGGATGAAACTGTAACTGTGTGGTAAAGGGCAAATACCTATGCCAAGGGGTAACGAGTGACTAATCGTCCTCTTGCACTTTCTGAACAAGCTGTTCTCCTGAGAGTGGTGTCAGTAAAGCTTCAGATCACCTGAAAGGGCACCTCCTACCTTCCCTGGGAATGTCCCGTTTGGCATTTCAGACAGGAGAGAAAGAGCTTAGGGAGTGGGTCCCAGCCCTGGCTCCAGTTCTATGCATGGGTGCAGAGCCATCAATGCCTAAAGGACATAATAGTCACCCATGGTTCTTAGAAGTTTAGGTCCTGGGCTCCTGGCCCAGGGGCTCTGCTTCTCCCAGGGTGCCCCTGAGAGTCTGCATTTTTGATGCCTGTAATCCATGGACCTCAAGGTCCAGTATGAGAATTAATTGCTGTTTGCCGGAAGGCACTTTGGATGTAAGCATGCTTCCTGGGTGGAGTCCTTTCCGTGCCCCTCCTGAATGTACCTATAAGCTCTTCTGTTCTCTCCCAGCCTTCAACACAGCCAAGTGTGAGAAGCTGCAGAAGGAGAAGGAGGACCTGGAGCGGCGGTTTGAAGAAGAGCTGAGGAGGATGGGCTGGCAGCAGCAGGCCGAACTGCAGGAGCTACAAGAGCGGCTGCAGCTACAGTTTGAGGCGGAGATGGCACGCCTGCAGGAAGAACACCACAGTCAGCTACTGCAGATCCGGTGCCAGCACCAGAAACAGGTCAGTCTGTGGCACAGGCATGGGCTCCACTGTTGGGTGAGAAGGTGCACTTGAGCAGGGAACCGATCCTGTTCAGTGGGTGAGCTTGTGGTCAGGACCACATTCTGATTCATGTCTTCCCTCTGACCCTATGCTCCTCTCTTCCAGATACTCTGACCGCCCTAGCTCCTTCTCAGTGCTTTTGCATTTGCTGTGCCTAAATCCTCTCCCTCCAAATACTGTATGGCTTCCACTCTTGTCCTTCCTGGCTTTTCTCCATCATCATTTTCTCATCGTTTCTCTGTGAGGTCTTTCCTCATCTGAAATTATACTTTCTTCCCCTTTGACATGCACACATTTCCTGTGCCTTTCCTACTTTAGGGTTTTTTCAGCATTTATTACTAACACAAAGTTTGCTTCTTACCTGCATATTCTATGGGGGCAGAGATGGTAACAGGCAACATGTACTTAGCCCTGCTTTTGCACCAGGCACTGCTTCCAACTGTACATACATTGACTCACTGAATCCTCGTGATCACCCTACCAGGTAGGTACCATTTGTATCCCCATGTTACAGGTGAGAAAACTGAATCCATGGGGGTTAAACAACAATTCACAGAGCTGTTTATGGAAAAGCCATGGTAGAATTCAGTCTGAAGCACTGACTTAGAATTGCCTGCCAGACTTCCTGCTATATCTTCTTCCCTGTCTTCGTGCTACATCTTCCCCCTGGAACTGTGCCTGTGGAAGTGAGGCACAGAACATGTATTTGTCGAATGAAATAATGAATGCCAATTGTTAACCTTAGGCCAGCAACCTTTCTGGGCAGAGAAATTCATCCAAAGAATAATGAAGGAATAATTTTCATGGGGCCTGTTCAGGTGAAAGTGGGCAGGAGCCAGATGTGCCCACCCCACAGCCAGCTACTGGTGCCCATTACTTCTGTGAGTGCTGATGAGAGAGAGGCAGAACAAACCAGTCTGCTTCCATAGACACCGCTCCTTGCATTTCTCTTCTCTCTAAATGCAGAAGCTCAGTTGCCTGGATCCCCTCCTTCTAGCTGGTATGTTATTTTATAGTTTGCCTGTGTCCATTGATGAGCAGTGCTCTTTAAATCTCACCTGACACTCATCCTTCATGATCACCAACCTTTGAATTGACCTCCATAGGCTGCTTCCAAATAGCTCTCCCAGATGGCGGTACCAGCGTCACCTCCCCCTGCCCCAGAGGCTTGTGAATCCTAAAGCACATGGGACACATTTCAGACTAATAATAAATACAATTGTGGTAATAAAGAGCCTCTTATTTTGTACCATTTTACCTTACACAGCAAGCACCTCAGGTTAGTCACCCTCCTTTTCTAGAGGCTGATAAAATGTAAATGCACCTGTCTGCTTGAGGCAGCTCAGACGTGGCAACTAAAACACAGAAGGGATCACAGCTAAAGTTACCTACTGGTGTTAAGAATAGAAACAAAAGCCCAAGCATCTCACCTCCCAAGCATTCTAAGTGTAACTCCTGGTAGCAGACATTAGCACCTGCTGCAGTCATCTGACTTCTTACATGGTGTCAGACCTGGTGCAAATATCACCTTGTCCCATGCTGCTGTATCTGTGGTCTGTTCATCTCCAGTGTTACACAGAAGTCATGTCTATAAGCTTTATCAGTCCAAATGTCTGGGCCAGCAAAGAAGATGCCAGGAGTGGGAGGTATGCAGCAGGTAAGGGAAGAGCCACTGGATGCAGGTTCACAGAGTGATGCTACATTACCAGGGCCACTGCCCAGGGCAGCTGCCACTAGTGGAGCAAAGTTCCTGGCCAGGCCTCACCAAGCCTCCTGTGTTCAGAGGCACAATATCATCTGCATGCTTTGTGAGAGCAGAGATGCTAACAGGCTGGAAGGTGTGTTCTTGCCTCTTAGCTAAGCTGAGAGACAATGGCCTATTGCAAATTTCAAACTCAGAGAGATTGTAAAGGAAAAAAATCCCTTGACTTCTTCACATGAGCATGAATTCCACTAGCTACCTATGTATGTTTGAAAAGCTCTCAGTCTTGTGAGGGCACCAAGTTCTGTTCTTCTTGGTCCTTTATGGCTATTAAATCCATCTATTTATGTATTCATACCCCTACGCAAAGAATACATATTGAAAGATCACTGTATGCAAAGTACTGTGACAGGTTACTACAGGAGATACCAAGATTTATAAAATGTGGGCTTGCATATTTCATAGAGGAAGTTCAGGGAACTATAACCCAGGGTGAGAAATACAGATATATGTTTAGGAATTGAGTTAACTTCCAGCTGTGAGAATAAGAGAAAGTGCTGTGGTAGAAATGCATCTGAATGCTTTGCAGTTGAGTGGACTTTCTAATAGCAGCCCAGAGGTTTGGAGGACCAGCCACTCAAATCTCTGACGGATTCAGGGACCTGGTTCTACTCCTGCTGCCCAGTGTTTTCAGATTCCCTAACCTTCCACTTCTGTAGTACAGTGTGCAAGGGAGAAATGAGGAAGAAGAGGAAATATACATCCACTCAGGACTCTGAGAGTCAGTGCTATCGATGCCCATTGGTCTGGTGGAGAGGAGACTCCAGTGGAAAGTGAAGTAGAGATCCGACCATCTGTGGTTTCAGTTACTCTGGCCTGCATTCTCCAGCCCTCTGTCTTCCTTCTCATGGACAGTCACATTGGCAGTGCTAACTACACAGTAGGATCACTGCCTGCTTGGCTTCTCCTCATGACCCAGCCTCCCACAGCCAGCATGGCAGCATGGCATGGGGGCTGCTTTGGTTCTGGCATAGAGGATCATTTGGGGTTCAGGAACCAGCCTTCACTTAAACTGGGACCTGCTTACAAAACACGGTGACCTCTGGCTTTCCTACGGGATCTCTCCAGGAACAAATTCATCCAAATTCTTTTTGCCTAACTGTCCACTACCTCAAGGGTCTCTGCTTCAGGAACCTGTGGGAATCATTTGGAGGACAGACAGAACAGAACACCCATACAGACTAAATGAGAATTGCTGAATGAAGCCTACCATAGGACTGTTTCTATTTTTATGTATTTATTTACTTATTTTGTGATACTTGAAAATGAATCCAGACCCTTGCAAAAGCTAGGCAAGTGCTCTTCTACTGAACCACATTGCACAAAGGTAGGTTTTTGTTGTTGGTGTTGCTGTTTTGTAACAGGGTTCTCTCTATGTCACCGAGAGTGGCCTTGAACTCAGATCCTCTTACCTTAGCCTCACAAGTTCTGGGATATAGGTATGTGCCACTGTGCCCAGCAGGGCTGTTTCTCTGAGCTCCCAGTGAGATTGTGGTAGGCAGCCTACATGTGTCCAAGGAGGTACAGGACTTGGTTCCTTAGCCCAGCAGGTGCTATGTAGGGGCTTGTACAGTTGGAAAGGATGGGCAAAAGGGTGACCTTTTATTTTGCCTTTAAGTTAATGTAAAGATATGATAAAGCTCTTATATCAGAATTATGGTGATAAAAGTAATCAAAATCACCTCTCATTTTTTAGCAGTCTACAGGTGCTAGATTCCCCACTTACCCATAATGAAAGCACACGAAATAAATTTTCACCATAAACAAGTGTGTTTCTCTTTTCTTGCTCCAAATGTAGTTGCATCTCAGCCCAACTTCCCATCCTCCTTTCTGAGTTGTCTCCAAAATGTGTAGCTGCAGAGCCCTGTATTCAGACTAAAAGGCAGGAACAGCATCTCCATTAGTCTGAATGCACTGAGACCGCTTAGTCCATCATTCTGCATTACATCTCCTTAACCTGCCTCTTCTGAAGGTGCCCAGGTGTCACACAGCAGAGATACATTGTCCTTAATCAAATAGAATCATATCCCAAGGGCCCTTGCCCACTGGAGCATCTTCTATTGGGGGGAGGCCATGCAGGGGACAGGGACCTCTGTGGACACCTGCCCGTGTGGTAGGCTGCAGAGACGGCCAAAAGTACACCCGGAATGTAACAAAGTTGACCCGAGAGCTCTGAAATGGCTAGCCATCTGGATACTGCAGCAGTGATGAAGTGAAGGAGGATTTCCTAGTTATTGGGAAAGGAAAGTCATTAGGAGGCACTAAGCATGAGCCAGCTCCCTCTGTCTCAGATACATGTCTGAGATGGGGCCAAATGAGAGTTTAGTCTGGTTTGGGTTTAATGAGAGAAGCCAAGACGATGTAGAGCACATGTTTCTTCATTTGAAATGTAAGTCTTCTCTAACTGAGTTACCAAAGCCTCAGATAATTGCATTTTGCAAATGGCTGCATAGAGTAAAGCCCACAGCTCTGTCGTTCCCCATCTGAGGGGATGGTTTCCCACTGCTGAAACCAGCCCAGCTAAATAACAAGCAGCAGCAGGAATTAAGTCATGGGAATTGGTGTTTTCCAAACCACTGGAGCTGTTTGACGGGCAAACAGAGATTCCTTTGCAGCACAGCCCAGAACTCTGACATTTCAGGAAGGCAGAGAGAGGACCAGCAGTACTTCAAGGGGGCCATACACAGGTTTCTAACAGAAGGAGAGGATATTTCAGCCAGCATAAGCTTGCCAGAGCTTGACAGTGTGTTTCTGATTTCGTAAACTACAGTTCATAAAATCATCCTGTGTTTTCCTTGGGCCAAACTCTAAATCTTCTCAAGTGCTTCAGAAGGCTCTGAGGTCTTCTTAGCCTGGATATTCTTACTGGCTTCTTAATAAGTGTGAGCCTGTGCTCCAGAAAGGAGCCAGGACCCATAGGATAAAGTCATGGGAATTAATACTATGACAAGAAAGAGGATGGCCCATAGGAGACAGCATCCCTTCCTCACTGAGGAAACATTTTTTAAAAAACACGAAGAGGCATGAAACCTGAATTACTGAAGAACAAGAATGATTATGTCCAACTTTTGGTTCATGGTCTTTCTTTGGTTTTCTACCAAACATACTTGTCATACCTCTAATTTGGTGTGGAGTTTTAGACTTAGAAAATCAACATTTCATTAATAAACACACTCCCTAGAGGCTGTTGTGGATATATCATGCCCTTACATCTTCCCTAATACGTAGGATGTGGAATTATATCACCACTAGTTTGTCTTCAAACAAACTAGAAAAGCATACTTGTTAGCCACAAACATACTACAGTATCACCACTCAGGGCATCTGACACCTCCAGGAACCTTTCTGTGACTTAGCCCTTCCATCTGTTTCTCTTTTCTGAATGCTCCCATGGTAGTTATGTAAGAGCCTAATAAATTAGAACTATCGAGGGCTGAAGAAAGGTGTTTTGTTATACTGATCTGTGTAACATACCTCCAGATAGCATGAGGTACTTGTTTCTTAACATGTATGCTTGTGTTTAACTGACATTTGTAATGAAGCAGAAAGAAAAGATATTTCCTTTTTCTTTTTTAAAATAGTGATTTATTTTTTTCAACAGATGAAAGGCTTTGGACAAAGATTCCATTAAAACCTCGTATAAAGGGAATTGTATGGTTAAATGCTATTGTAATGAGTCCTTCTGCTGAGTGGATTGATTCATAACTCTGAACCTCAAGTAAAATGTTTAGTCAAGAATGTCAAGTAAAAGTGAATCACTGCATACCAGTCCATTTTACACTGTCCTGAGTAATGTTGTGGGCTCTGTTTTGTTTTTACCTAGTGATTTCCTTGTTTTAGAGAATGAAGACATAGGGCCAGGGATTTAGCTAAGCGATTTGGTGGCCGGCCTTGCAAGCACAAGGACCCGAGTTCAATCCCCGGTACCAAAAAGAAAAAAGAAAAGAGAATGAAGATGTCATTCTAAGAGAGAGAAGCCAGGCAAATTTACCCATAAAATTGTACCTTCCAGAATGATAATCTACCTATTGTAAAATAAAAATACCTCCATGTATTGATGATCCCTTATGGAGACTCCTTCTTCCCTCTCGATCAGAGAAGAAAGTATGTAAATTATCCCCTAAGCAATGAGGTAACTCTTGGAAGTGGCTGAATATTACTAGCTAGACGCAAAGTGTTTCTAACTAGTCCACCAAATAATTTTAGACCTGGGTACACTGTCTAGATCTGTGTTTTTCAAATGTCAGGTTTTGACACATTTATAGTTTGTGGAATAAATTTAGTATATAGTCACTAGCATTATGTAAGATTAAAAAAAATAAAATAAAATAAAAATGGAAACCAGACTTTTGCAAGTGAGAAGTACTTATGTGAAACTGGAGTTTCAGATGTGGAGGTGTAAATGCATGTTGGTGTATAAATGCATGTTTGTATGTTTCTGCACTGTGTTGCAATATACAATGGAATATTTTACAACGGAGCATTGACGGAGACTTGGGATAAACACTTCACGTGCTATATCCAAGAGAGGTTGGCTATAGTGAGGAGAGGTTGCTTTATACAATTAATTCCAGACAAAGTACATTTGAAATTAAGCAACACAGTAGCTACAGTAACAAAAAGAATAAATGTGATAGGAGTGGATGAGGGAGGTAGGTAAAGGAATCAAGAAGTACCAAAATGAAAATTCCAGGACTGGCTGTGTCAGTTGTGATTAAACTCCTGAAATGTACCTTCAGCTGGGGAATCAGCAGCCTTTCACAGGAGCAGCTCTGAATTATCTGGGCAGAAGTCCACATTGTACTCTAGGGACAAGTTTATACTTAGATATCTGGTGCATTGAGCACATGCACATCTCCCAGCCTCACTCAGATATGGGTGAGAGGATGCTGAAATGTTACTGACCCTTCCTGGATGGAGGTGGGGAGATCACTACAGCATGTTTCATAGATCTTTGCCTTTGGGATCAGACAGATCTGGGGACCACTTAGCTCTGCTGTGTACTCAGCCTTGGGTTAAACATTTTAAATTTCTATAAGCCTCAGTTTCCTCATCTCTAAATTGGACATAAAATATTTACTTCATGAGTGTACTCAGAGGATTGAGTAGCTAATACTAGGGAGCCTAGTAATTTTTAGTTCCTTCATTTACCTGGTATAGTAGGCTCCCACCTGCCACTGGAAAACAAAGCATAGACCTCTCATAGGGAGGAAACTTTTCTTTCCTTTCTGCATCATTACCTCATAGAGTGACTGCTGTAGGGGAAGGGATAGCAGGGGAAAGAAATATGGGATGGTCCAGCAGCCAGGCCCAAGCTCTAAGAGGTGGCCTGGATAGCCATACCTAGATAAAGACTTCTCTGTAACTCCAGATAAAACAGGTAACTATGGACTGGGGATTTAGTTCAGTGGTTTCAGTGCCTGCATCGGAAGCACAAGGGCCAGAGTTCAATCCCCTATACAAAAAAAAAAAAAAAAAAAAAAAAAAAAAAAAAAAAGGAAACTATGAGGACCCAGGTTAGACCACTCTTAACATGAAGACAGGAGCAAAAAACAGCTTTTAATGCTGGTGGCTAAGCAAGTGATTCCTGTCAGTACTGAGAGTGCCAAATAGAAGTTTATTCTTTTTTATTACCTCTTTTTACATCTATGAAGCTTACTTTCATTGGCATTTCCCTCAAAAAGAGCAAGCAGGAGTTACACAAAGCCAAGCAATAGGTCAGAGGGAGAGCAGAGAGAGCTCTTGCAGGAAATTCCGGAGTCCCTAGTCTCCTTTTGTGTCAGATTACAGAAGTAATGGCTACTCAGGTACATTCCACAAAGAGCGTAGTTACCTAGTTAACCCATAGTTGACCAGTTCCATATGGAGGGGTAGTCTCCTCTCACAGAGACTGCCACATCACTAACAAATGATGACTGCCTTGGTACCAGGCTCAGGGTGGCCATCATTTTCCTTAACATTTGGGGCCACTGACTTCTTCTTCTCACTGAGTCACATCTTTCCCCTCCAAGCAGAAGGAATATTGCTGACAGCAACTCCTGAGTTCTCTGGATAACCAGTAACTGTGATTCTCCTCAGGTTGAAGATATCACTGCCAGCCATGAGGCTGCACTCCTGGAGATGGACAGTAACCACACAGTTGCCATTGCAATCCTGCAGGATGACCATGATCACAAAGTCCAAGGTAGCTACCACCCTTGTATGCAGCAGACAGAAGTGGGCCGTGCAAGTTGAACCTTTCCTGCTGTGGAACAAGGAGACCTCCTCTCCCCTGTTTTCTTCTTTTTCTTCCCAGTGCAACTTTTCTGTTTGTTTCTATGAAAAGAGTAAATAGAAATTAAGAATTCAGGTAGCACTAGGGATAAAGCAATTGCCTAGTATGCATTAGGTCCAAGGTTTTATCTCTGGAACTGGAAGGAAAAAAGATTCAGTAACTACAGTATCCTTCTCCAAAGCAGTTATATTCATTTTTGCCTGAATATTGGAATCCCTTGAAAAGCTGTAACAGCCTCATTCCACACCCAGGATTCTGATGTAGTTGGTCTGGGTTGCAGCAAGGGCATCATGAATTTTCACAGCTCATTGGATGGTTCTAATGTGGATCTAAACTGAGAACCACTCTTCTAAAGTAGGCATAGAAACCTTGTGCTTTGTCTTGTATTTTAGCCTTATAAAAATAAACAGAAACTCCAGTCTGGGTGCTCTTCTTATATTTATGTTTTCTGGGCCCTAGCAGCATCTCAAGGGCTTTCACTACTTGTCCACATTTACTGTGGATGTACACTGAGTCTCCAGATCTTTCTTTCCACAATTTTTGTGACTGAATTGCCCTTTTGGTGTGGCTTAGATGTGGTTTGTTTCCCAGGGGCTCATCTGCTCCCCAGCATGGTAGCATGAAATGTAGTGGGACTTCTAAGAGTCCCACTCAGAGGTGGGGCTTGGTGAGAGGTCCTTAGGTCATGGTGGAGGTGGCCCTAGAAGGGAATGCATGATCTCAGTCTCTCTGGCTTCCTGTTTGATGATTTGATCTCCTTCTTGTATGTATATTGTGTTAATCAACTTTCCATCACTATACCAAAGTATTTGAAGTAACCAACTTCTAAAGAGGAAAGATTTATTTTGGCTCACAGTTTTGGGAGTTATGATTTATGATCAGTTGACCTAATTGCTCTGAGCCTGTGGCAAGACAGTGCATCATGGCAGGAATATGTTGCAGAAAAAAGCCTCTCACCTCATGACCAGGAAGCAAAAGAAAACAAGGGGAAGGCTAGGGTCCCTCCTCAATGACCTAAAAGCCTCCTGTGAGGCCCCACCTTTTAAAGGTTCCATCTTCTCTCATAGCACTGCACAAGGGACCACACATTTAGTGCATGAGCCTTGGAGGGACATTTAAAATCCAAATCAGAGCAGTTCCCACATGAAGCCTTCACTAGAGCTGAGCTGATGCTAGTGCCATGCCTGTGAAACTCCATAACTGTGTTCTAAATATACCTCTTTTCTTTATAAATTTAGCCTGCCTCAGGTATTTCATTATAGTAACAAAACAGACTAATATTCTTCAGGTACTTAGGGTTTTTTGTAAATCACTAACAACAATGATACTAAGTTTTACTAAGATTTTACTTTGTGAAGGAAGATACTTTTTAATCTTTCACATGCACTTACATTAATATGTGCAATTTATGCTTTAATTTCCCCTCCTTTTACCTTCCCCTCCATCAGATGGTTGGTAAAATATATTAAAAACAGTAAAATTTACCAATGAATTAATCTTTTTAAATTTGAGAATCAACATCAGAAGTTTTTTTTTTAATTATTTTAAAAATTTTCTTTGTAAAGAACAAAACCCATTGTGCAGTAACCAATGCCCATGCTATCGCCTATCTCAAGCACCATTCCCACACCTCTGGGAACTGTTAGTGAGGATAAAGTCTCAGCAGAGGTAAGAAAGAGTAATTTCCTGAGAACTAGTTAAATGTATTATCTGTGTCCTTGGATTACTGGTTCCCACCCTTGGCTACACAATGGAACTACAAGAAGAGTTAAGAAAAAAAAAAAAAAGATGTTTAGATTGTGTAGATTCCACTTTAGAGATTCCAATTTAACTATACTAGGGTATAGCCCAGACATCAGAAGTTTTAAAAAATTCCCAAGTTTCTATCAAGCCCCGTCCATAAGATTTTGGAAGACATGGATTAAATAAGCCAGTCCTTAAATACAGTGCTCAAGATCAAATAAATTCTCTAGCAGCAGTCGTGTTACAAAATAGAAGGACCCTTAACATGCTGACAGCAGCCCAAGGGGGAACGTGCCAGGTGCTAGGTGCAGAATGCTGTTATTTTATTAACCAGTCAAGGATTGTTAAAGCAAAGGTTAAAGAATTACAGCAGCACATCGAAGAGCAAAAGATGATGGAATTCTTGGGGAATAGACCAGAGCGATTCCTGGCTTCCCCAAATTATGCCTTAGCTACTTCCCTAGTTGGGCCCACTGGCTTGTATGTGACTTTTAATCATGAGAGGGGCCTGTCTGCTTCGCTGTTTTCAAAATTTCTTACAGGACCACATGAGGGCATTTACCAACCAGTCACAGAACTCGTCATGGAGGGCACTGGCCACTGCAGCAGAGGGAAGAAGCCCTCATACTGCTGCCCCCACCATATCCAGGTTTAGCCTCAACCTTCACGTCTTTGTCAGCTTGAAGCAGCTCCAGAAGAAGAGACCTTCGCCCAACAACAATAAAACAAAAGCCTGGAATGTTAGCTTTCCCTTGCCTTAAGATGGCTGCCACATGGAATAGCAGCCTCCATGTTAAAATATGGCTTCTCCCAACAAAGGACAGGCTTCTTCTTCCCATCATGCCTCTTCTCCCACCAAAAGAGTAACCTGATACTTGCTACCGCCTACCAGCTAGTGATGTCACAAGCCCCTCCTAGTCATGTCACAGGCTCCTCCAGTCTTTTAATACTACACTCAACTCCACCCTAGCTCAGGCTAACCCTACCCCCCCCCCACTCCTATAAAAGAAGCTCTCTGTTCTGCCATGTTGCTCTCACTCCTTTGTTTGGAGACAGCCCAGCAGATCCTCCCCATAGTAAAGGCTTATGGTCCTGGAAAAAAAAAACCTCCCCAGGTGATTTTAACATGCAGCAAAATTTGAGAATCATCGTTTTAAAGCACAATATTAAGATAGAAGGAAGTGTCATGACCTTGAAATAAAGAACTACATCATAGGGACACAGATATTGTATAATAAGCAATGCCTTATATCATCTTCAGACTAGATATTGGCTTTTCTTTTCCCTTGGGTTATTGAGGTCATCTGAAAATGCCCATTACTGCACTGTAGGAACTTGGTCTCAGGAAAGTAAATGTGAATACAATGGTACGATAAGTCATAGTATTGCTTTTTGTTTCTGAATTCTCACATAAATAGACAAGATAGATTTTTTTTTCTCATAGAAAAAGTCTTAGGCACAACTTACAGGGCTTTGAATTATATATAATGTCAAGACAATGTGGTTATATGTAATAAGAAGTAAAAAAATCATTATCATAATCAGGACGATGCTCTCAGTGTCTATTAAAACTAATCATTTACATAGAGGCAGGTAGACTAGAAGTCACTTGGTTTTAAGTCAATGAAATCAGCACTTTTTTTCCACATATAAATTTCAGCTATGACAACTAGATTTTTTTTCAGCAACCCTTCCACCATTAGTTAAAATATTTGGGTCAATGAAAGCCACAAAGTTTTTCTTAATTGTATCTCATGCCAGACAAAGTGGTAATTGCTGGACTCCAGCACTATCCTGTTCTCAGCATATGATCTGTACTGTTTAATGAGACCCTTTCTCCCTCTAGTTGTAACATGAAATCAAATTGCTTGTGTAGCCAGAATGAGATGGGCTTCACCACACTAATACAACTCTTCCCATCTGGAAGTAAACAGAATCCATTTGCTTAATAACTGTCACATGACATTTCTTTCTGCCTAACTTGCAAATTATTGCTGTGGTGACACTTTTCACAGAACAGAATTGTTGCAAACCTTCTGAAAGGAACCAGTTCAATTAGTCCTTCCTTCTGTCTGAGTGTCTTCACACCACACCTTTGCTGTGGCAAATCTTAGCAGTCCTAGTTCTCAGTGTAGCCACCAAAGGTGTCCTTGGAGGACTGCGTCCCATCCCCCCCGCCATTTGTTCTCTAGCATTGTGGTTCACCGCACACCCACTTTTCTTGTTAAGTTCTTTCCTCGGCCAGATGGCTGCTTCACACTGGGAAGACAAGTCCTGGAAGGGAATAAATGGGCATTGGACACCAGTTACTCAATTGTTTCTTCTATTAGGAAAAATAGGAGAATCAATGGGTGCTGTGAGCAAAGGACCTAACTAGGGAAGGGGAGTGGTACAGCAGGATGCAGAATTGTCAGTGTGTGACTGAGCGTGTATGTGTGAGCATATGTGTGTAAGCATGCACATGTGTGCCTGTGTGTTCTGTTGGCTTCCCTCCTTCATTTTTTTTCTTCTTTCCCTTTATCCCTTCTTTTCCCTCCCCTTCTTTCTGGCTCTCTCCTAAGATACAACCTGGCCATCAGATATCATTTCAAACTATTGAAGGAGTCTCTTCAGCTTTAAGTCTGCTATAGCCAGGATCATTTATGCATTTGTTTAAAGTCACTACCTTTATTTTTCCAAGAGTATTGCTTTATCTTTTTCAAAAGACCAACTTAACAATCTGATATGTTCTCTCTAGAATTGGTGTCTGCTCATGAACTTGAAAAGAAAGAATTGGAAGAAAATTTTGAAAAACTGCGACTGTCATTACAGGTTAGCTTTTCCTTAGCTTTCTTCAGGAATATCATTATTCCTACTCACAAAGATTTATACAGCACCCACTGTATACTTGGTCCTGACAAAACACTTAAATAGAAAGGGAGATAAGACATATTCTTGGCCCTTTAGGAATTGGCTGGCTACCCAGAGTGCTGTGCCACAAACAGGAGCAGACAGCAAAAAAGGTAATACATACTTGGATCAAACGAAGAATACAGTTAGGGGTACTGCAGAAGTTCAGGGGGATTTCTTAGCATTTGATGTGATCAGAGATGTTGACACAGTGCCTGAGCTGTGTTTGGAAAAGGAGGAGGATGTGGGGAAGAGAACATTCCAGCAGGGAAATGATTCAAGGAAAGTTGTGAAGTTAGAACGTTTGTACCACACTTTAGACACATTAGGATTATGCTGTAATTTTCAGAGTAGAGGTCTTTTACTTCCTTCATTAGATTGATTCCTAGATGCTTCATTTTTTGGATGCTATTGTGAAAGGAATTGTTTTCTCCATGTCTCTCTCAGTGAACCTATTATTCATGTACAAGAAGGCTACTGATTTTTGAGTGTTGACCTTGTATCCATCTACTGTACTGAATTTGATTATTAAGACTAGAGGTATTTTGGTGAAGTTTTGGGGGGTCTTCTATATAGAGTACCATGCTTCTGCAAAGAATGACAGTTTAACTTCTTCATTTTCTATTTTTATTCCTTTTCTTTCTCATCTGATTCCTGTGGCTAATGTTTCTAGAACTGTATTAAACAGGAGTAGCAATAGTGGGCATCCTTGTCTTTTTCTTGATTTTAGCAGGAAAGATTTCGGTTTTTGACCATTTAGTGTGATATTGGCTGTTGGTTTTTCATAAATGGTTGTTGTCAGGTTGAGTTAAAGTCCATCTATTTCAATTTTCTGTAGGGTTTTCATGAATGGGTGTTGGATTTTGTCAAATGCTTTTTCTGCATCGATTGAGATGATTGTATGATTTTTGTCCTTGACTCTGTTAATACAGTGTATTACATTAGTGATTTATGTATGTTGAGCCATCCTTGCATCCCTGGGATGAACCGCACTTGGTCAGGATATATAATCTTCTTGATGATCTTCTGCATTCTGTTTGCAAGTATCTTATTGAGGATTTTAGCAACTGAGTCTATTAGGAAGATTGGCCTGTAGTTCTCTTTTTTTGGTTAGATCTTTCTCAGCTTTTAGAATCGAGGTAATGGTTGCTTCTAGAAATGAATTTGGGAGTATTCTTTCCCTTTCAATTTCAGTAAAGAGTTTGAGCATTAGTGGCATTAGCTCTTATTGCCTCTCACTGATGCCTAAAGAAAATGTTGGTCTCAGATGCAAGCAGAGCTCCCCAGCTTCCCAATTTGTCTCTTTTGAGGAGAATGTAAGGTCTCCCAGGGTTCTTGATCTCCAGACACCCAGGCCAGCTGTTCCAGGAAAAGTCATTGACAGCCCTCAATCCTAGGGAGGAGCCACCTGGAAGCAAGGGTGAGGTGGGTGACCCAGTTTCATTTCTGAGTGTAGAAATTCTGATCATATCCAGAATGTGTTTTACATTTTAAGGGCAATTATATCTGGAAATTCTGGAAACTACTTCTCATAACCACAGCACATTAGCAAGGAATCTTGCTTCTTTGATGATGGCTCATTCCCCTGGCAGCACTTATCACACAAGGCTGCCCTGCCAGAAGAGAGCCCAGGATTGTGGAGATACACTGTACCACAGCCATCAGGTGCACCATTCAAAATCTTTGATGGTTGGGAGGGTAGCTCAGTGGCAGAGAGCTTGCCTAACATCAGTGAGGCCCTGGATCCAATCTCCAGAAAGGCAAGAAAAGGTAAAAGTTTTGTTTCATCATGGAGTCTTCATTGTGCTACTAGCATCAAATAATAGCATCAAATGCATACTTTAATCATAACTGTCCACTCAACAGAATCCACTGGGGCTGGAAACTGTTGGGTGGAATAAGGTGAACTTGTTCAGGTCAACTTCCTTGGGTTGTTAGCAGCAGGAAAAAGTAGCTAGTTTGGGTGCTTAAAGATTTGAGCTTTGAGTTTAAATCCATGCTGTGCCTGCTCCTTCTAGCTCTGAGATCTTGGACAGTTAGATAGGCTCTATAAACCTTAGTTTACTCACCCTTAAAATGGGAGTGATAACAGTACTCTTCTCAAGGAAGAGCTGATTAAGAGAACGAAAGTGTCAAAACTAAATAGCACTGGGGTGGGGTGGCACATGACTGTAATCCTAGCCACTTGGGAGACTGAGGCAGAAAGATCACAAGTTTGAGCCCAGCCTAGCAACTTAGTGAGACCCTGTCTCAAAATTAAAAATAAAAAGGGCTTGGGCTTTAGCTCAGTGGTAGAGCACACCTGGGTTCAATCCCAAGAGAGGTGGGGGAGGGAGGGGCAGGCAGTTGAAGTTAATAGCCCTGGATTGGTTTATGGAAAGTGCTAGTAAGTCTAAGTGACTGCCATTGTTATTACAATAGCTATAAGAATTGTTATATTTATGATTATCATTATTATTACCTGCTATTTGTTGATTTCTGAGTGGCCTATACCAGGTCTGGCCATCAGCTGGGTCTTTGTGTCCCTTAGCCTGACGTTAAATAGCAGTGAAGCTGAAAAACAATCTGCCCTGTATGACTATGGCAGCACCATTCTGTCCCCGTGGGTTTGTTTTGAATAATGGCAAACAAGGCAAGAAACCCCAGCTTGGTATTTTAGAGCCATCCTGGGTAGTAACTGCCTGATGAGATTTTTGTTGCTTTGCTTTTTAATGGTGGGACAGGGGTTTCAAAGACACATTTCCTTGAACAACACTCAGGAGATAAGGTGCAGGAGCCAGGTAGTGACACAGGCATTTTTATAGCTCGATTGTAGAAGGTAACTGCAGAGTGCTGTGGACTTGAGTCAGGCCTAGTGGGGCTGCCCTGGGCCATGATTTCTAGATTCCTGTGCACATAAACTCCCACTGACAACTCTATTGCTCCAATATACCAACATTTGCATTGAATGGCACTATGGGGACTTTTATTTCCTAAAAATGAAATAGAAGTAACTGGGAGAAAAAGAAAAAGAAGAATTAGGAAAAGGAACCTGCCCCAGGAGTTTTGCAAATCAGGAGCCTCTGCCCAGTGAATGAGGAAAGCAGAGAAGCGGCCCTTTAGGCATCACAGCGATGCTGTGCAGAGTTGCAAAATCAACAATGCCCTGCTTCTACTGTCTGGTGGGACAAGGCAGAAGAGTTCACAGGACTCTCTAGCCCCTGTGTTTTAATATAAGAGACATAGAGTGGCAAGGGTGGGGGACTTTGGATGCTCAGAGTGATAGGCACAGGACTGAGGCTTTCCTTAGGCATCAAGATAAAGCCACTGCCCAGGGTTCTCTGTTCACTGTGGTAATGAGAGCCAGGGCTGAGGTTGAGTGGGGCTTCGGAGCTGTGTCATGGCAGTGAGGGAGGGGCTCAGCAAGTCCTCAGAAGGGACCCTGAATCCTTCAACATACAGAGAGCTGCTCCCTTGTGGAGTATGCTGGCGGCCAGAGGTGTCTGTCTAGTGGGGAGGGTCTAAACACAGTGGACAAGACTGGGTGGCTCAGCTTTTGTGGTAGCTCATATCAGGAAAATGCTAGCCAGCTCTGAAACCAGGAGGGTTTACTGGGGACTGGAAATGAACAGGAATGAGAGTGAGCTCGCAGAAGAGGGCACCACTAATGGGAAGCTGAGATTTGAGATTTGTGAACCTAGATCAGCTTTCTCACTATGGTGAAGACCATACTCAGGTGACCCCGAGGGTACTTGGAGGTGTCATATAGGTAGCAGAAAGACAGGGTTATGTTTGCACATTAGAAAGAGCCTGATTGTTTTCTGTGGGCCAAAGACCAATCATGCAGTATCTGCGTAGGAGGCCAGGAAGGAGCCAATGGAGAGGCTCTTGTCCAGAAGAAGGAGAAGTAGGAGGGAGAGGCTGTGGGTTTCCCAGAATGCAAAGCAGGCAAATTGGCAAGATTTGACTGATCATTGACTCATTTGCTTTGGTGCTGCTGATAGCAGGGGTCTTAGAGAAAGAAGTACAGGCTGATATGAAGCCTTCTGGCTTAAGCTTTATGACTGAGAGCAATTCTTTTTTGTGGTAGAGGAACTGTGTTACTTTGAAAATCAGGACTGGCTGCCTTCTGGTACTTCTCTCTACAGACTGTCTGCAGCTGGAAAGCAGATGTTACATGTCCTCTATCCACAAGCCTCAGAATTCATTTATGTTTTTGTGTCTTTTCTGCTCAAGGCACCAAGAAGGGTCAGCCAGTGACACCTCACTCCATCATGTGGATGTGGGGCTCCCTCCACCCCTCTGTGGAGACCCAGGTGCTTCGTTGAGCACCGCTAAAGAGCCCCAGTGTGAGGTGGCGGGTCCTCCTGCTCTAGCTTCACAGCTCACGGTGTCCTTCTGTAGTGGCCCCGTCTGGACATCTTGTGTCATTACTTGCAGGACCAGGTGGACACACTGACCTTCCAGAGCCAGTCTCTGCGGGACCGAGCCCGGCGCTTTGAGGAGGCTTTGAGGAAAAACACAGAAGAGCAGCTGGAGGTAGTCACATCTTTCGAGGCTCCCTGCACTGTAAGGTCCCTGGCCTCCTCCTCCTCCTTCTCAGTCCCATGCAGGAACAAGGCTTTCATGCTGACCTGCTGAAAAGTGATTGCTGGCCACAACCTGCCCAGGGTGTTTAGGACTGTCTCTCGGCACTTCTCCCCGGATACAGACCATCAGCCTGGTCCTTTTACCACATCCCACCATGCCTCCCACATGTGCTCCCTGGGTTCCCATGACATGTAGAGTCTAGGAACTTGTCATCTTGGCCATGGTCACCCCTTGATACTGTCCTCCCATCAGCCCTTTAGGCTGGCACGGGAGACTAGTCGGGCAAGGCGAACTTCTTCAGAAAAACTACGAAAACGCCTTCCCTTTAATTTAGCATTTCCAGATAAAATACACAACACCCCATTAAATTTGAATTACAGAAAGACAGATTTGAAGATAAGTATCTCCTATTTAAATACTTTCGCTAAAAATAAATTATGATGTTGTTTATTTTACATCGAAATTTAATGGAGCCAGGAATTTAGTTCTGCCAGGGAGTTAGCTTAGCGGTTCTACTGCCTGCCTTATAAGCGCAAGGTCCTGAGTTTAATCCCTGGTACCAAAAAAAAAAAAAAAAAGTTATCTGTTTTAAGGTTATCTGTTTTAATGGATTATATCTATCAACACTATTCTAATATGCCTTTTTTCAGTGACTTTCTGCTTTTGAAGCTAGGTTGCTCTTTTCATATGCATGGGAGCAAGGCCTCTCATGGGCTGGCAGGAGGTGAGGGAACCTATGAGACCCCAGCTTCCTGGTGAATCACATCATCAGGAAGAATGTTAAAAGCTAATGTCGGGTTTCCTCTCTGGACTTCATGAACTCCCTTCTTGGGACAGACTGGCAGGCTCGCTTCTAGACTTTACAGGGAACCATGGCTATGCCTTATTCCCTACTCCCCATCCTGGAGTTGGATTTATAGGGGGCTTCAGTGGTAAACTAGCAGGGCACCTTCTCAAGGCTTTGGTGAGCATTCTTTGTCTCACTGGGGCTGAGTAGCTGGTAGCAGAAGGCCAGATTTAGCTAGATTCTTAACATTGGGTCATTGTTGGTTTTGCTGGGAACCTTGGCAATAGTTGGTTACTCTCTGCCCCTGTAGGTCGCACTGGCTCCTTATCAGCACTTGGAGGAAGACATGAAGAGTTTGAAGCAGGTGCTAGAGATGAAGAATCAGCAAATACACCAGCAGGAAAAGAAGATTATTGAACTGGAAAAGCTGGTGAGTTGGTCCGCTTGCTCAGGAGAGTAGCCCCTGTGATTTTCCTGCTGCCGGCATTGATGCCATCACCATTGACAGTGCTCAGTGAGGCATACCTCTTCCCTGATTTGCTCACGATGGCTAAGCCTAACGGCTTCCCTCAGGAGGTGGGAGTTCTGATGAGGAATCTCAGAGGCGGCCTCCTTTTGTTGACTCTGAGCTCCTCCCTTGATTGCCTGCCTCCTTTCCTCACTCTGGTTTCCTGAGGAAAGATCGTCCTCCCGCTCCCTGAGAGGATATGTGGTGAAACAGCATGCATCATTAATGGGTGCCAGGCCTTGTCAGAGTTTTCATTCTTTTCAACAGTTCACAGGGCAGTAGGTGTAGAAAGTGTACTAAATGAGCCATTTTACAGATACAAGATGGAGGCTGAGAAGGGCGACAATTATTTCACCCATAGATAATAGGTGGACAAGTATTCCAAATCCTCCCATGGAGGGAGGGTCAGGAGAGCTTTCTGGGGCCCCTTTTAAAAGTCATGAAGACACCGGGGATTTAGCTCAGCGGTTTGGTGGCCTGCCTCGCAAGCGCAAGGACCATAGTTCGATCCCCGGTACCAAAAAATAAAATAAAATAAAAGTCATGAAGATATAGTCACTTCCTAGGGGCCCTACTTGTTAATACCGTCACCTGAGACTAAGGTTTCAACATACCCATTTTGGAGGGACTCAAACATGCAGCTTATAACAAAGTCCTTGTTCTGACCAACTGCTCACCTCAGCCCCCTAAGCAGGGCTCCTGTGGAATGAGCCAAGGGCTCCCCTAACAAAAGAGCACTGAGGATTTCTCTCCCTACCATGAGGCTTAAGGCTCAGGCTCAGTCTAGAGTCCAAGAATGATGTTCAAAGGAAGAACAGGGTTGAGGATTTAGCTCAGTGGTGTAGCTACCTGCCTTGCAAGTGCAAGGTCCTGAGTTTGATTCCCCCATACCAAAAAAAACAAAAAAAAGTGAGGAACAAAGATGCCTTCCTTCATGAGATGCATGCCCTCCTTCAATGCAAGTTGACCAATGGTCGAGATAGATTTGTATTTTTTTCTTTATTAGTGGTATTTTTAAAATAAATATTTGTGGTCTGGGAATATAGCTCAGCAGCACAGTGCCTGCCTGGCAAACTCGAGACCCTGAGTTCAATTCCTGATAGCATAAATAAATAAATAAATAAATTTTAAAATAATAATAAAATAAACATTTGCTATTATAAAGGAAATAATAGAAAATTATAAAATAAGGTAAACAAAACTAGGAAAATTAAATCACATTCCTACTACTGTTAACACTTCCAGGGCTACTTCTTGGTGACACACACATGTGCAATGCACGTGTGCACACATGTTATTGCTCTGTACAGTGTAGCCTACTTTCTTTCAGTTAACAAATCTCTAACTTGTCATTTGAGGTCTCATTTTTTAAAGTTCCCCGTTTGTCTCTGGAATGTCCTTTGCAGCTGGCTTTTTTAAACCAGAAGCTGATCCAGAAGCACCTGTTGTATTTGGTTCTAAAGCCCCCTCTCCGCTTAGCAACATCGCCTTTTGCAGACATCTCTAACTGCAGGAGTGCTTAGCAGGCAGCAGACAGACTGGACTGCACTGTACCTGTTACCAGCATCCTGAGTGATGTGTATGACCTGACACGTGCCAGCAGCCCCAAATTTCCAGCCACCTGCTAGAGCTCACAGGAGACGCACAGAAGAACCTGTCCCCTCTTGACCTTGCCTCATACTCTGCCTACTGTGGGAACTTTACAGCCACTGGCCATCCTCCTCCTTCTGGTCAGACTGTCTGCATTGGGCCCCTCATGTGCCCGTGGGCTTATCAGGCTATTTTTAGGCTTATTTTGGTTTTACCACAGGCATGTGTGACTTCTCCTCCCTGCCTTTCCAGGCAAATGAAACTATTTGCTCATTTCCCATTTCCTGGGAACAAAGACAAGGGCCAGGTGGGGTGCCTTGCTAAAGATCAGGGATAGAGGCCATCCCTGTGGCTTCAATTCTCAACCCCTAATCATGGGTAAGTGGCAGTTTTCCTTGAAGATTAACTGCGTGAACAGTGAAAGTGTCACAGTCTTTCATACATAATTTATTTCTAAATGCATCTTAGAATGGAACTGCACTTCAGCTAGGCCTCAGGCCCTAGGGGGACACAGATAGGGAAAAATGGCATAAATTGTGGGGGAAATAACAACCATAGGATGGCGGAATTTTCTCATCATGTGCCAAGCTGATCTTTGAGTTTGTGTTCCTGGCTGCCCATAGGATGTGCCCACATTATTTATATTTTATGGCTCCATTTATTCAGGAGACTGTGAATGAAATAGTGTGTGCAAGCCTGGTCAGAGTCACTGATTCAGTGTGATTGACACTTTGGGGAAAAACCTCAGGATCTGCAGGCCAGACCACGTCCTCGTGTTATCTGTGGCTTATTGCTGACAATATATTATATACATATACAGCATCTACACAGGGACTCAATGCAAACACATTCACACACAACAAATGAAATAAAAATATATATCCAAAGTGAATATAGCAGGGCTCACTTTATTTTTACAGTATATCCTAGCATTTTCTATTCTATTTTCTTTTAAAAAAGAAATACTGGTCACATTCCTCCAACCTATCTTTACAACCCAAGAGTACACTGCAAACTGCAGTTTGCAAAATACTTTTCTTGATAATCCTTTAAAGCCCAGAAGCCGAGGGCGCTGATGTACTGCCTACCCTATGACCTTGCTGAGAACTTCTATAAACCATCTGCTTTATAGGCTGAAAAGAACATTATCCTGGAAGAAAAGATCCAAGTCCTCCAGCAGCAGAATGAAGACCTTAAAGCAAGGATTGACCAGAACACAGTTGTCACCAGGTAGGTGGGCCTGGCCTCTGGGCTTACAGAATATGTGTCACCCTGGAAGTAGCCTTGCCCTTGAGCTTTCTCTTGTCCTTGGTCCAGTTTGCCTTACTCTGAGCTGAAAGGCTTCCCCACAGTCCTTCAGCTTCTCCCAAACCCAGAACAGAAGTACACAGCTGTGACCACCAAGTCTACTCATGGGGTGCACAGCAGTACCATCCCCAGGAATGAATATGGTCAGCAAAAGAGCCTGCAGGGCTTCCAACAGCACTAGGGGGTTCAGGGATATATTTCTGAAAGAGATTAGAAGAAGAGCAGCAGTGGGATGTTCCCAAAGCGAGTCACCATTAGGTGATACCACCAGACTGTCAGAAACCTGCTATTTCCATCTTGATCCTGCCTGTCCCTGCAGGATCTGCTCTGGGAGCCCTGATTTCTGAGGAAGAGTGTGTGCTCTTCCCTCCTACAGCTCAGAGTTGGGTAAGATGTTCTTTCCACTTCCTCTGCCAGCTAGAGGTTATTATATCCACAAGCTCTGAGCCACAGCGGTGCACCCTGAGCTTAAGCACTGGCCCTCTCTACTGCACTGGGCTCCTGGGTGCAGCTGTAGCGAGTGCAGTGTGTCATCCTGTGTGCATACACACCCAAGCAAGACATGCTTATGTGCACACATTCACCCACACACATGCACACACACTCAGGCATGCTTACATTCACAGCCACTCATGCCTACTCTCACATGCCTTCAAACTTTCAGGCTTACACACGCATGCACTCACATGCATGCTCCTGCAGACACATGCATAGAACTATTGCCTCCACAAGTGAGGCCCCAGTGCTGACACTTTGTTCCCACCTCAGAGGCACACAGATAGGGACAGAAGATCCCACCATCCTTGCTCCATGGGTCCCCAGACCCTGGGCTGGGAGTGACATTCTCACCAGTCTCCCTGCAGGCACAGTCTAAGAATAGGAGAGAGTGCCTGAGTAGCACTGGACCCTGGGAGTCTTCAAGGTTCTCTTGTCAGTGCTGCCTTTGTCTCAGAAACCTTTTCTGGGCCTCAGCCTGCACAGCTGTAAAATGTATAGGTACTTATTCTTGACAGTTCCTTAAAGGTGCTGTTATTTCAAAAAATATGCAACAAAGCTAGGAATTCAGACTTTATGTCAGAAGATGGCACAAAAAGCACTGGTTTTTCATTCTGATCCTTTATCAGGAAACATTAACCGTGCATCTTTTATGTGCCAGGTACCATGTTGGCTGCTAGAAAGTCAATATGCAGAGCCTTGGTCCTGACCTCTCGGGCTCAGGATCCAGCAAGCAGCCAGATGTACAGACCAGCTTCTATATCAGGACAGACACCTGCTGTCACAGAGGCATGTGCTTAGGCAGGAGGCCAAGGGAAGGCATCCCCAGCTGCCTGCTGGCCACCACTTTCCTGTACCATGGTACCAACACCATGTGGTTCCTGGTCCCCTGAGGATGCTGGTGGTACCCCCACACCACTGCCTACTCCCCCTTTCCTCTCCAGCCTCTGGACTTTGCTCTATCACCGAACGGCCTCTGACCTGGCAGAGGACCTATGAGCGGATTTGGGGTAGGCAGACAGGCTCTGGCAATGGACATGTCAGCAGTCCGGAGATGATGTTTCACCGGAGTTCTTGGTCCCCGGGGTAGACTGGCCCTGTTCTGCATGCAGGAAGTGGCTACCTCTCCCTCACCATGCACCTGTGGGCCTGATCTCAAGTTAAGTGTCATTAGGCGTGCGTGCCTGCTGCTTGACTACTTGTTATTCTTCTCCATGCAGACAGCTGTCAGAGGAAAACGCTAATCTACAGGAATACGTGGAAAAAGAAACCCAGGAGAAGAAGAGATTGAGCAGAACCAACGAAGAGCTGCTTTGGAAGCTTCAAACGGGGGACCCCACGAGCCCGAGCAAACTCTCCCCCACCTCCCCGGTTTACCGAGGCTCCTCCTCCGGGCCCTCCTCTCCAGCCAGAGTCAGCACCACGCCCAGATGACGTCACCACGTATCCTGCGGGCGCTCCGGCTTCTGTCCACCTCAGGAGTGCTGGCCAGGTGCTGGCAGGTGCCGGCCGGCCTCCCTGCGTGCATGCTCAGTAGCTGCATACTGCGTCCTCTTCTGACCCCTGTGTAGACTGACCTGGTACTGGCACTTAGGAAGCTGTAAACAGTAGTCTGATGTGCAGAAACGTTTTACCATAGAGCCAAAAGAAAAACAACTCCAATCGTTCTTGAGTGATGAACTTTCACTGCAGCATTTCATGTTAGTTACAAATAGCTCAGTTTTGAATATACATTGAATAATCATCGCATACTGCACCGATATGTGTGTATATTTAGATATACGTATATACACATGTGGCAGTTCTGAATTGCATTTTTTATAATGTGATGTGCTGACATATTTTAGTGAAGATCAGCAGTTTTCTAACTTGTGCCTAAGAATTATTGGGAAATGAAAATGCATTTCTATCTAGCTTCCCAGGAATATTTCTACCCAAAATAGAAAAAGGAAAAAAAAAATCCAGATACAGAGAAGCGCCTTTCAACCTGCCACCAAGTGGTACTCTGTTTAACACAAACACCAGCGATTTGTGAATGGTAACCGCCTTTGGAACAATCAGCTTCTTAGTCGACATGATGTGAGGTCACTATCATTCCATTCGAAAGTTTTAATTACGGATCCTCCTGCCATGAGTGGATAAAGGATAGAACTGGGAAATCCTCAGGGGTTGAGCAGTTTTTCTGATGTTACTCATGATAGCGACTCATCTGTAACCATGTAAACACAGCCTTGCTTTTTTCCTAAATGTCATCTCAGAATCAGTCACTGAGGTATTATTGTACTCTTGGGAAAACATAGACAAGCATGACCTTTTGCAGTGAAGATGAGGATAGCTTTGGAGGTGACCAAGACCATACATCCTATCCTCACGAAGGGAAACTGCTAGTAAAGTACATATTTGACCAGGTACAGCGTTAGTATCTGCCATTATTCCATTTGGTTGCTCTGATATAATGCTGTACATGGTCAACTCATTGAAGTGTGATCCTCAGACCCGTATTTCATAGGCAACTCCCTTTCAATTCTGTTGTACAAATCAACCCCACCATTGCATATGGAGATGGCTCAGGGGTTTTGGCAGGGACTTCCAGAAAACTAACCTTTCTATCCTGGGAGACCAGTTCTGAAAGGTGCTAGGTCATCATACAACCTCTCAGAAACTCAGCTGTACTTTCTGCTGGATGATCAAGGAACATCTTAGCCCCAGAAGGTTCTCCTAAACAAAAGAGCCAGTGGAGCAGCCAGCCAGCTGTTACAGCTACTGGACTGCCATTTGTCTCTGAAATGGTAGAATTAGAATGTAAAAGGTATTTATGTAGTGCTGTGGAAGACTAGGAGCATGTTACACAAAAGAAGTAGTTTTAACAGTCAATGGGATGATGATAATGTTGTCTTTGTTTCCTGTATGTGACAAAGACCCCTGCACTTTTCTCCCTAAGACCTCTGAAATCCATCCCAGCCTAGGCCCATCTTTGAGCATGTCCAAGGCAAGAACCATGGAGCCTGAAGAAATGGCCCATGGAAGGGGCTGGCTTGTCTAAAGTCACAAGTGTGGCAACACAGAGGCAGATGTGGTCTGTGTACCTCATGTGACTCCAAGTTGAGCTTCCTGGCCTCAGATACACCTCATTTCTAGCAAACCTCCAAGGGTCTTGCCCATTCTGAAGTCATACATCATAGATACACATTGAAGAAACAATTATTTTTCTTTTAGTGGCTCTGCATGATACTGTGATAATGAGTTGGGCATTCTGTTAGAGTAGATCAGGCCACATGACTGAATACACAATAATTTATTCTTCTAGAAGGTATAGCCTGAAAACACAAGTTTGGTTGTAGCTTAGCTCTCCAAATTAGGACCACTTCTATAACCGTGCCTGCTAAATGCAGTTACACAGCAATACAGATTTCAGTGTGATATTAGAATGTGGTACAGTGTGTTAGGCTGTTGCAGTCAAAGTTGTAGTGACATTAGAACTAAGTAATCCCTCATTAGGTGGACTAGAGCCTTGCCCTAAATGACCCTGACCTTGGGCACTTGAGCTAATTTCCATGTGGCCCTGGCTTTGTTATTTTCATCATGAACACCCATCATGTATGGCTCCCCATCTGAGCCATTACTGCTCCTGACTCACAGGTGATGGTAGCTGCTGTACCTCCTCCTCAATACTTCCACCTCTCACCATTAGCATTTGGACCTCTCTCAATGTAGAAGTCCACCTGTGTCTCAGGCTGGCGCACTGTATCATATATAAATGCTGCAGCCTCCTGCCTGCTTCAGACAGACCCAGCAAACATCACCAGTGTCTTTGTGCCCTAGGGAGACCTACGCTGGCCGGTCCCCACCTCTGCTTGCCACAGGCTGGGCCAAGGCTCTGGCTGGATGTCAGGATGGGTGGGGTTGGGGGGCTGGCACTCCCTGGGATTAATGGAATGGGTTCACAACGTTCCTTTTCTGCCCCTCCAGTTTCTGTGTTGCATATTTGTGTTGAACTCTGAAACCTATTAAAATGAACTTGAGGGACTTTCTGTGATATCCACCTTATGTAACTGGAGAATTGTCCCTGTCAGACTGGGCATCCCAGGCAGGGAGATAAAGGAGGTGTTTCTTGGGCTGGGTTCCTCTTCTGTGCACTTAGATGCAGGGTCAGCAGATTGTCACTGAGAGAAGACTAGAGATCCCTCTATCTGCAAACTTAACAGATCCAAGGTCCTTACATCTACCCCTTGAGACTGGAGAATTCGGCACTCCCTAGAGGCTCTGCTCAGCCCAGCTGGGGTAGGCTGGAGTCAGTTAGAAAGAGGACACAAAAAATTAAATAAAATGCTTCACTATTTATTTCAAATTCAGACCTAGGCTCTCGACCCCAGAGAGTTTGATTTACCTACCTGTTTCTGTTTGTCCTATCATAGCCCTCCAGGTGTAGTGTTCACCTACACCTGAGCGGTACTCGCAATCTGAGAGTCTCTCCCACACCCCAAATGTAGCTGGGATACCTGTTCTCTCATTTCAGCCTGAAAGTCACCCTCATCCCGCCAGCCTTCAGTTTGGGCTGTGTGGCCTCAGAGTGTCCCACAGGTGGATTCACAAGGGAGATGCCTGGGTTTGCAGTTCCTTGTGGTGGCTTTGTAGGGCATGAGAATGGTAGCTAGTTTAGGTAATGTTGGCAATTCTCTCAGGAGCAATGGCTGAACAGTCACTGTGTAGAGCATACCTCCATGTCACTTGCTGACCTCATGAGGGACACCCCATGGTCTTTCCCCCCAATCATCCAGGTTATTGATAGTTACAACATTGACAAATGCTTTTATCTGTCAATGTGCCCCAATGTATTAGTTTTTCCATGGTAGCTACTGTCCCTATCACCACCCTGTGCAGTAAGTACAGAGACAGATGTCAGCACCTCCACTTAGCAAAGGAACCAAGTGGTGACTCATCACCTGGCACATGCAGGAAATAAGGTTAGTGCCAGCTCTCCTGTCTGTGGAGAACATTGCTCTCTTCCACTGGTGATTTGCAAGAGGCACAGAAGACCTTTGAAACTGACTCACTTGTCACCTTCTCTGCACCAAGGAGCCTTGGCAAGACCAGCTCTCCTGTATGGTAGAAAGAGTGCTAGGGTGGAGCTGGAGTCATTCTCAAAGTTGGTGTTGCGTCACTGCATGGGCATCAAGCAATGACTGAGTGATGCCCTGGCTTCTCATCTGTGATGGCCAGAAGGTGATCTTGCCCACATCAGTGACTCCATCAAATGTTTAAATGGGCACAAACACCACCACCACCAAAGACTGGCAAGCTGTTCTAGTTGTAAAGACTGGGAGTTAATTCACTTAAATTATGTTTGTTAAATATTTTTTAAAAGTTGATTTGCTTCTCTCAAACCTCTAGCCCCAAACCTCATAAAAACAATGGGGTTTCAGAATGCCAAACTGTTCATTCTCATCTCAGCAAGAGATGCCTTCATTTGCATCTGAAAGTGTCTCCAGTGCCAGCAGGGCAGGAAGGCTCTGCAGCATTAAGCACCTGTGTGTGGGGACCTCCCCTCCTACAGCCCCTGCCTTCTTTTCTCTTGGGCACCCACACCACAGGCAGCGGAGCAAGCTCTACTGCACAGCTGCTGTGCCCACCTAGTGGATTCCCTCTTTGTACATGGCAGGGTGTGAATGGGCTGTGTTCCTCCACCTCCCCACTGTGCTGGTAGAATAGTATTGTCCCATTACCCAGAAGAGTTTAAAAGCATCGCTGGTAAAGTTGCCCCAAGCCCAGCTCCTGCCTTCTTCCCCACTCAGTACTGTGCCTGGGATTATGTGTTTGGCCTCATTGAGATGCCAAAGAGCTTACTGGGGCTGTTCATTTTGTGAGCAGAGGCGCTGCCTGCTTTACTCCTGAAGCCTTTGTTCTTGCTTTCTTTTTTTTTTTTTTTAATGGTTGCAGTTCCAGCTTGGTGGACAGGCTTAATTTAGTAAAATTTAACTTGAGCAGGGACTGACAGGCTTATCTGCAGTTGTCCCACCTCTCCCAATGCAGGTCTGAGTGGTGGCTGATGGATTTTAAAGGCCAGGACAGTTTCCCTGGCTATAGTTCCCAAGGATTCTTGTTACCTTGCATGCTGAGCTGTTTGAGGGCAGCCTTTGATTCACCAGGAACGTTTCATAACCACATGGTGTGAGAAGGCTTGCTTCAGAGATATTTCCTCGGGCCTCCAGACTGGAATCACCCCACAGGGATTGGAGGAGCCCCATCAGTGTTTTTCTAAGACACTGCTAAAAATGTGCACTTCAAGTAGTCCACACAGCTCCCCAGGTCAGCCACTAGATGGCAGTGTAGTGCTGTGGGAACCAGGGTTTCACCTTGCACTTGGCCCAAGTCTGATTCAAAAACCAGAGGTCACCTTCTTACAGGACACAAGAGGACAACCAGGAATGTGACATGCCTCATGCCTATTTTCCAATTCCAGAATGCATGGATACTGGGATTATTTGTGAAGCCAGTCCGTTCTGTAAGATAAAGGATAGACTCTGGTTCTCATCTCCCTCTAAGCTGTGTCTGTTGATAATGGCACTGGGGATGGGATGCCCTTGTTCCCCACACACACTGAGCAGGCTTGTTTCTATGCCACCTACACATTAGGGTCTGGTTCCAAAGCGGCTAGAGAACAAGAGATGTGTGCAGTGTGATCTTGTTCAGATTATTGGCACATATTCCTCATCATAAACATGCTGGATGCCAGGAAGACAGCAGCTGGCTGCCCTTCTCTGTCTCACCCCCTGGGTGTCTGCCTCCAATGCTATCCATCAGGCAAGGAAATTCAAAGGTTAAACCTTATCTTCCGGGCAACAGGTCTCCCAGGATAGTCCCTATGGCTTATGGCTCTCCATTTTGGGGAATTAAGGTCACCTCATTGAATCTGTCTCCTGTGCAAAAACTGCTTTGCTCCAGGGAGCTGAGGAAGTGAGATACAACAATTGTTAGGATAGCTACAATCCTTGCGTTCAAGCCTCTGCTCGCTGCACACAACCTGTTTCCTCTAACAAATGGTGCAATGGGTACCAGTGAGTGAGGGGGGCCAGCTGAGACCCAAATCCACCGGTACATGCACAATGGTTGGTGACCACTGGGGCCCTTGATCTAGGCAGGCCTGCACACAAGGTGGGAGCGGGGAGGAGACAGCAGCACAAGGCCCAACATGAGGGTCTCAGGGATTCCTCGGTCAAGGTCCAAGTAGTTGGGGCGAGGATTTCTGCCAATGGCTGCAAGAACGCAAAGCCCTATGGGTAAAGCCACAAGGTGAGGGAAAGCTGGAAGACGCGGAGCCTTTTGTGGCAGGGCAGGCTTGGGATCCAGCCAAGAACAGAATTCCTGAGATTACACAGTACACACGGAAGCCATAGAGAGAATTTATTAGAATTTGCAGAAGCATGAGATAATGTACCACAAAATAGTTTGATTTTACAACATAAAGTATAGTAGGAAGTTGTCAGTTTACAGTGTGGTCAGCGAAAAGGGAAAACAGAGCAGTTTCACATTTTTTAAAGGTGATGGATAACACCTGCACTAGTCCTTAAAATAAAAATAAAACATAATAAATGGAGGGGCCCAGTAGAGACCAACATGATTTGCCATTAGCATCAGAATCTAAATCTAGTATCACATTATAAGAAACTATAAGAAAACTATTAGAAAAATAGAACATCAAACAACCAAAAAATATCATACAATTTACATAATAAAAAACACTTAACTCTTTTAATAATGGCTCCATATTCAGTAGAAGAAAAAAGGTACTGGAGAAGCCACAGCTATCCAGGTTTGATAATAAACCAACCCTCATTACATGACCCTTCGTGATCCTTTAACCCATTGACACGGAAAGGCACAACTGAAGCAGGAAACTTAAATATATATTAACTTCTCACTTGGGAAAATAAGTCCCAAACTTAGAAAATTTGTCAAGAAACACGAAATCATAAGCCTTGTTAACAAGTTAACAAAGTCTGAACGCATCTCCCAGCCCTGCTTCCTGACCCTGCTGGAGGTGCTGATACCCTGAGAACATCCGTTGGTACCGTTCTTCCTCTCCCGGAGTTGTGCAGCTGACACATACAGGATGACTGCGAGGGCTGTTTGGTAACTGCGAGGACCTTGACTGCACCAGGTCCCTCTGGGAAGAGAGCCTGTGGTTTGATCAAGCAATGGGCACAAAACAGCTCTGGATTAGTGATGAAGATGAAAGCGAGGTGGCATTTTTTGCCCTAAAAATCCATTAGGCGTCATAACCACGATGCTATCTGGAGTGTCGCATCTTGCACCACTGCCTCAATAAAGCACTTCATGGTCCCATAAAAGTCTGACAAAATGTACATTTTGCTCTCCCGTGGGAGCCTTACCCAGAATACTCTTATGATGGCAAACAGGTAGAGTTTAAATTACACAAAACAATTACACATAACACATACTCAGTTCCTTTTGAGCTTGCACTCTGTAACAATTCCACACACAGTGCCACGCACCCTTTTCCCAGACTCCCTTGTACTGGCAGCTCAGGAACCCACCACAGTGTGGGCCCAGGCACACCTCCATAGAGAGGAACAAGCACCCTGGCCCCTAGGTCCCTCACTGTCTGTCTCTGTGGCACTGGCTCTTGGGTGCCAACAGAACCATCAGCTCTTATAAAGAAATAAGTGTCTGTGCGAACAAGGGGCATTCAAGTCAGGCAAATGGGCCCTGGCATGTAGCCAGGCCGGTTTTCTCTAGCACTGAAATTTGCACATTTGTCAGTGCCCCTGCCCTTGCCTCCAAGTCTGGGTGAGGCATCTATAGGGTGTGTCCCCACACCCCAGAGACCCCACTTCTTACCTAGTCCTCACAGCTGTCTCTAAGCCTCACCCCACGTCAGGCAAGAGCCCACACTGGCTGGGATTACAGCTTGCTTGGGGACAGGCGCAAGGGGACAAAGCAGGGATTCCCACCTGTCTCACCTGCCACATGGATGAAGCCCAGCAGACACAGTGGACAGGTGGGGGGGCACGTTAGCTCCATGGGTGCACTGCTGGTGGGGAGTGTGCCAGTGCCTTGGGTATGAAGGGCGGGGGGAGAAGCCTGGCACCCCTCCAGTCACTTCTGGCCACCACATCACAGGTGGGCGGGTGCCTGAACCAACAGATCAGCAAACAGGACCAGGTGGCTGACTGCCAGACAGAGATAGGCGATTCAATGGGAAGAGTTTTTGCTATTACAAAAGTAAAACCCAAACTGGGGAAAAATCTGGCAATCCTAACTATATATTTAGCAGTCTTTCTGAATCAGCCCAGAAAAGAAAGTGTACCATTCTTTCCTCTTGGTTCTAAAGACTAAATCTGACCTACAAGGGCCAGCTTAAGGTGCGTGTGCATGTGTGTGTGTGTGTAAAGAGGCCCCACATCTCCCAAGACAGTTCCCTCCCCATGGAGAGGTCCCAACCTACGGGGGCCCTACTGCTGCCCTGGAGGTGCCCTTCACCCCCACTTTTCAGCAGAGCTCCTGGGGGACAGGGCTCTTCATGAATTTGAGCCCAGAGACAGGAAAGATGCTTACAAATTAAAAATGTCTAATGTGACTCTTTGGGGCTGGAGCAGAATGAAAGTGGACACTATATTCCTGCAGGATGTGTGTGTCTTTAGAGTGTAAATTCTGACTGTAGGAAAACACTGTCCCAGCCATGCAACTCAGAATGATACTCTTATTTGGGCAGAAGTTTAAGAGATGTAAAACTATTGGTCACTTTGGAGGTTTAGGGGAGGGAAGCTGTTTGTGTTTTTACTTCGGGAGAAACAGTGAGGGTTGCAATAAGAAAATCTATTGAATTCGCGAGGCTCAGCCCAATATATCACTGTCCCAGTACACAGATGGGAAGGCTCTGGACACAGCACCTGCTGGTTCTTAAGGAAATCACAGAGACTGATGAACCATTCACAGAAGTCACCTTTCCTGACCAGGAAGTCAGTCTGCCAACGAGGGAGGATGCAAGAATACCACACTCCCCCTACCCGCGCCTGTGTGAGAGGGAGAGGAGGAGGGATCTCCCACCAGAATGTCTACACCATAGGGTCCATGGAGGGATAAACTCAAAATTTGTTATTTCAACTTTCTGGAACAATGCAGGTTGCTAACTGAATGTCAAGTGTAGATAGATTACTGGGTGCTGTCTTGTACAGAAATTTTAGCCAGAAAAAATTAAAGTGAAGAAAAAACAAAAATCTCCACTACAGACCTCACGGGACACCCTCTTTCCCTTATATTTTCTTTGTCTGCATAGAAAAATAACAACAACAAAAAATCAGGCAAACAAATAGCTAGCAGGCTGTAAGAAGACAACAGATAACTAAAACCCCAACAAAATAAGTTAATATTTATCAAAATATTTTACAGCACCAATCTACATAAATTTAAATACCTTTCTTTGGAAACCCAGGCTTGGCAGGGCGTGTGGTGGTGGGGCGGCTTATGGTACTACTTCTGAAATACAGATGATCTTTAGAATACAGCTTCCAGAGAGTTGGTCCAGGTCTGGTACAAAGACCCAGCTCTTGGCCATGTGGCCCCCCTCTCCTGGCTGCCCAGACCTCTAGGTTGTTTGACTCATTTATTTGCTGGCACTGGGGGTGAGACCCAGAACCTTGCCTGCCACTGATCTCTATCCCCAGCCCACTTTCACTAATTTGTGTACTTCTCTCCAGGAACCTTCTGCAGCAGAGGGAAGAAGGCAAGTGCCACAGTGCTAACTGTATCAAAGGTTAGGCGGGGACGAAATGGAAAGCCAGGCTTCAGAAGCAGCACTTTCCTCCCCATGACATCTGAAATGCTATCTCCCTCACCCCTTCCAAACCATTTTGTCCTATGCCATGGCTTCAATCTACAAGGAGTGTATGACATAGTGTTGGCTGTGGGCTGCGCCCAAACTACAGGAAAGCAGGTGGGGTGCAACGTGTACACAGGGAGCCACAGAGGGACACTGGCATCCCAGCTAGACCCACAGATCCCAGGCCTATGGAGGCACGAGGTGCGAGTCCTATACAGAATCCTACCAGTTTACACAAAGCCACAGCACTTGGAAGACAGACACCTGAGAGGGCTAGCAAGAGGGCCACAAGTCATCTCCCGCGTGGGCCACACACCCTAAACACACCCTAATTACTTGGCCACTTTTCAAGTTAATGTTAAACCCCAATTTAACCTGGAGTGATTCATGGCAACTAGCAGGAGGATTCAATTTCATTACATGTAAGAGGCCACAAAGACCATATCAGGGCCCAGAAACATCGTGATCTCACACTGAGCTGCCACCTGTCCTGAGAATCTTCCAAGACCCATGCAACTCAATGAATGGCAAAGACCCAAGGAAAACAGAGTTTTCAGCTCTGCCAACTTGAGACCAGTCCCACAGAAACACAGACTCGTGTTCCAGTTACTCAGAATACACAGGCAGTGGTGACAGACACAAAAGCAGCAGGAATTGTCCTAGTCCTGGAGGCAAGAGGACTAGAGAGTGCCCCCAGTTTATGCAAGCTCATGTGAGCAGTCAGCCCTCCCCCACCTTCATGCTCCTGCTCCCACAAGATCCTCCCCTCTTCCATGAGAAGACAAATCACCTGCCCTCAACCCTGCTGCTATGCTACGGAATGCTATCCACCTATCACCGTGTCAGAGCAAAGCCCTGCTTGGAGGGGAGATGATGGGGAGAGGCCCCATCCTAACAACCCATCTGGAAGCAACTCAGAGGGCAGGAGTGGCTCTGGGTATGGCATAGCTGGGGTTCTGTTCATCTTGGATCTATGGCCAGCTGTTCAGGGATGAAGGGGAAGATGACTGCTAAAGGTCTGGGGTCTGTACATTTGCAATACCAGAGCAGTCCAGGAAGGGAGGTCTGTTTCCAAGGAAGGAGACAAGGGATCTCCCTTCTGCCCAGGGGTGCAGCAGCAAGGTTGAGCTGATGAGGGGAGGGGTTTATTTCTTTGTTCAGAGGGAAATGAGGAGACACGTGACCAGACACAGCCAGATGCCCTGGGCCAGAGAGCTGTCAGAGGTGACCAGGGCCTGGCTGCAGGACCAGGGCCAGCCAGGCACACTGGCTGTGGCTAAGGCTGCAGTTCAGCTGCTTGCACCTTTGGTGGCAGTGGAGGTGTCACAGATATGCGTGGTTTCTGTTGCATCAGTAGAGAGAGGGAGGTACCTTCCTGTCCTCTCCAGCCATCCCTTGGGGCTGCTGCCACCTCCGGTGGGCAGAGCTGCAGGTCATTTGCACTGGTCCAAATGGCCATCAGTAGTCCTTGCCTGGTCAGCAGCCAGGGATGCCTCCTCACTGTGCCACAACCCATAGCCAAAGTAGATGCTGAAGCCTGCAGGCCAATAAAGAGAAGAGGCATGAGGAGAGCAGGCAGTGCAACCCGTATAGGAGATTGGACTCAGATCCACAGAGGGCTACCGGGGCTGCTTTCCACAGCTGTAGAAATATGGCTATTCAAAGTTCAGCCAAGGCAACAGTGTTGCTTCTACTTTTGGTGGCCTTCCAAAGCAGCCAGGTTGAGGCCACGAAGGACACTGGCCCTTTGGCTTAACACCTGTCCACCCCGGAGGGCTGAAGAGAAATAAAATCATGCTGCTCCCTAGCAAGGTCGCTGCTCCCTAGCAAGGTCGGATGTTCAGTGGGTACCAGAAGTCCCTAGGCTCTCTGCTTGGACAGTCTGCATGGGCCCTAATTTTTCTAAATAAGTGATAGTCATGTTGCAGGAAACATTTAATGCCCAGATATGTACTTAACACAAGAATCCACTGCTCTGTTCCAGTATTCAGGACTTTAAAGATCTGTAGTGGAGCCGGGAACCTGTGCTTCTAACTACCCACTGAGGAAGCATGAGCAGATAGTCAGGGGTGCCCTGTATAGCTGACATTGGATGGCCATGGGCAGCAGGAGCCAAGGAAGTGACCGCATGCTCTAGAATATAAGGACTTGTATGGGAATGGTGGGAAGGGGTGTCCACTACACCAAGAAGTGGCCGTGTGAGCTGTGAGCAAGTCTATTTAATCAGACATGGACTGCACTTTGCTGAGAACGAGGACCAGTCCTGGGACTATACAGCAGTGTAGCCCTTGAGAAAAAGTACCTCTCATGAGCCTCAGGGGGCCAAGAGGCAGCAGCTATCAGCCCCATAGCATCTGAACCCTTGGCTGAGGATCTTGGCTAGGACGGCCCTCAGGGGCAAAGGTAAAGGCAAGTCCCTATGGCATCAGCACAAGAGCTAAGACAGTAAGGGGAAGGACACAGATGGTACAGAGATGCTTACCAGCACCCAAGCAGCTGGCCCTCAGACTAGGGTGCAGCCCCCATACACCATACCCATCCCTGGTCATCTACTATCAGAAGCGACAGCTGCTATCCCTTCAGAAGCCCTGGCCATTCCTTCCCCAGGTTCAAAATTCTGTCTTTCTACAGAGAAGCCATGGGAGTCTGGTGCCTACAGCCCACGTATCAGTTGCTGGGCAGGTGGAGGGAAGCATAGCCTCCACTTTCCCAACTGGAGAAATGAGTGCCTTATTGATGGTATTCATGGTCTTTTTCTCAAGCTTGGCCTGATGAGATAACTAGTTTGGGCAATGAGCTATTAAGATGAAAAGGGAGGAAGACCCACAATCTACTAGGGAGTTTGATGTAGTTTTCCTTGTGCTATGAAATCTGGAACAAGGGAGACTCTATGACAGTAAGCATGCAGTCAAGTAGTAGGGAAAACAGAGGAGCAGCCCCTGCACAGCCTCAGAAGACCAGGGGTGGGGGTGGAGGCAAGAGAAACAAGAATACTGAATGTGTTCGCTGCAGTGAAACCGATGACCCAACATACCTGTCAGCATCCAGACTGCGAACCGGACCCACGTGCCCTGGTCTAGCTGCATCATGAGATACACGTTCACAAAAATGCTCAGGATGGGGAGCACTGGCAAGAAGGGTACCTGCAGAGACAGAAGGGGGCATCAGATCTGACAAAGGCTGGCAAACCCGACTTAAATACCCACACTCCCAAACTCATGCAAATCAAGTGGGACTCTGGTTCTCGGCTACCAATTGTCAAAGTTCCATTCTAATTTTCCTCTCTTATTATTCTCCTGCTAAAGGAAGAACTAGAAGAGGGGTTTCCTTTTTATCTCTAAGGATGAATTATTTTAGTATTCATATAACCTAAAAATACAGAAGCCTGGTCATCCCCAAGGCTTGTAAGTGATATGTCATGCACCTGTGGACAAGGTGCACCCATCCCCTGAGAGCCAGGGGAAGAGAAGGGCCCATCCTGGCCTGCCAGAGTCAGGGCCCTGCTCAGCAGGACCCTCTGGGCTGGCAGCACTCCATGCCATATGCCCTGAGATGGGCTATTAAGAAGGCTCAGTGGCACCCATGCAGGGTCGGCTCCCAGCAGGAGGGCCAGGTCTGTGGCCTACCAGGAGCTTCCCACAGGCGCTATAGGCCAAGATACTCACCTTAAATGAAAGCTTGGTCTTGCTTTCGGGCTGCCTCCAGATGATTCCCATGACCACTGCACTGAGAAGGGTCAATCCCGTGACCACAAGGATTGCCCACAGCTCCCCTTTGCCCAGCGCCTCTCTTCCAACCACGGCCACGATGCATATAATGATGATAAAAATAGCTAAGGGGGAGAAATGAGATAGTAGTCCAAACTACATTTCTCTAGTCCCCACAGGTATCCTTGGTTCTCCCCAAAACCTGTCCAGAGTGTGGTACTAACTACAATTAGGACAGCAAAACTACTCTCACAGTCACAGCCAAGTTAATAAAACACTCACCTCTAGCAGCATTCCACACTCCACTTCCATGCCCACTGACAAGAGAACCGGTAATGCCAACAGCAAGACCCCAAACCCTTAACACGGAAAGATCAACCTCTTACCTATGAGGCTGGCTGCAATGTTCACAATGAATCCAGATAATTTGGAAGGCTCTGTATTTTTAGGGGTGAGTATGCTTTTCAAAGACAACTTCTCTGCTTTTGGTAAAAAGCCTGTCTGGGAATCGCTGGTGCTCACCAGCTCATTCTGGTCGACTTGATCTAGCTCATCAGTTGTTCTGGCCATCTGGTATACCAGGTTAGGCTGCTCTGGCTGATACCTGTAGGGAAATGAATTAAGCTCGCATTAGCAAAAAGACACGCACCAATGTAAGTTCTTAGCAAGACTTCAGAGGAAAACTGCCTGGGACACAAGGCATAAAACAGGAAAGAGGCAGTTGAAGGGTGCATTCTCTAGCAATGCAGAGGTGGAGGAGGAAATAACTGGATTCTCCTTCCTACTTCTGGACAATACCTTCACTTGATGTTTCTGTTCTGGGTGGAACATGAGCTCCACTGTAAAGCAGCCCAGTGCAATGTCCTGAGAGGATTTCTCCTTACTCTGTGAAGCAACAGTAACCTTTGGATATTAAGATATTAGGCCACTTCTCACAAAACCATAGTCACAGTGAGCTAAATGAAAGGCCAGAAATAGAAAGCAATAATAATGGCATCCTATTTGCTGCAGAGAGCCAGAGAATTGTGTCCATAGGCTGATGGATTTGAGATATTTTTTTGTGTGTGTGACTTAATTGGATCAATTTAGTCTAAAACTCCAAGTGGCTTGGAGTAAGTCACTCTGGAGCTTGGTGAAGGATGTAGCCTGTGGCATTATTTCCAAGACATAAGCTGCCGGCAAGTAAAGCATCTGCTTTAAATGAGATGCCTTATCTTTCCACCCAAAATGAACAGAGTACCAATCTTCTCCACTACCTCTGAAAAACAAAATGCTTTCTGAATTATTTTGCAAAAAATCAACTTGAAGAGTGAGCATAGAGACAGTTAACCATTTTTGCACTGATTCACTTGTGCAAACATGACTTGGTCAGTTAAGAAAGTGGGGAGACCTCAGAGAACATTATAGTGTTGAGCCTGAGGAGAGATAAGGAACCCACTAGTTTCACTGATTCTACAAAGCTATGGCTTAGGCTCAGCCTGGAATTTACTTAAAGTAGGCACTGAATACAGCAGAAATGGAACCAGTGGCCTCGAAAGCACACACACAAAAAAAATCGTCAAGAAAAAAAAATAAGAAAGCTCTTGTTGGGTGACCAACACAACAAATGCTAATTTCAGACTATCCTTCAAATGGAGACTTTTCTCCAGAGCAAAGAATAACCAGAGTCTAGGCACACGCTTTGAGAGGGGTCCTGGAGTAGATGAGAATACCAAAACACCAAGTCCAGGGCCAGAAGCTGCTCATTGTTTCAAAACAGAAACAGCCAAAACCTGTAAAGTGTCCATAAACATCACCTAGGCCATTCTGCATCATGTACCAGGATTCATTCCCCCATCTACAGAGAAACCAGCTACAGAAGCGTAACACTGATCTAATTACATAGGTTTTGGTCTCCCAATTTTTAAAAGGTCAGCCCCTAACCCCCTCTGGTTCAGCCACAGCAATTCAGTTACCCGAAGCCTTCAAAAATTGTGATCCTAGGACTCAGACACAACAGCGGAGTTGAGACAGCTAGCTGGAAGTATAAGGGCATGTTACAGGGAGGTTGGAGTGACCCTTGACTCTTCTAGTACATCCTCCCAACCAGCTTCTCAATCACCACATCCCATCCTCTCCTTGGGAGCTTACAATTAAACTAGCACCAATGTAAAAGTTACACAGTGACCGTTGTATACTCATGTCTGTCATGGAGCCCAGGAAATCTATACATACCTTAAGACCAATACACAGGCAGCCACCAAAGAGTAAGCCAGGAGAGTGCCAATGGACATGAGGTCTACCAAGTCCTTCAGGTCAAAGAGGAAGGCCATCACAGCTGGGAAGAGAGACATCAGGATAAATGAGCAGTCCTCTACACACATCAACAGTCAGGACCACTGACTAGCTTTGACCCAGGGCATGCGAGGGATGCTATTTACTCCCAGTCCAACCACAAACCTTTCCATGGAAAAACACTTCTTTCAGGGATGACAAATTTTGGGTTAAAACACATGCACAATCTTCAACAGACAGTAATAATAATAAATATTTTTATAAAAATACTTTTATCTTTTTTTGATCCTCAAACTCTGCAAACCATACCTACACTATAGATGAAGGAATTAAGTCCAAACAGGACAGGATACTTATTTCAAGTTAAACAACCAGTGCACAGAAGATCCAGGATCTACTCACCCATCTATTCTCTATCCACTCAATTATACATCTACCTACCAATCCATCCACCCACCCATCCATCCATCCATCCACCCACCCACCC